CAGGTCAGCTCTGACACACACCACGGGCCACGATGACCCAGCAGTGGAGGAGCCCACGCCGGACCCCAGTGCATGCAGAAAAGACCTCACTGTGCTGAGGGACAAAGGGAGACTGCTGCCCCTGCCCCATCCAAGCCCTGTCAGAGGGGATCCTCCCTCAGTGCATCCAGGACAACACAAACTGCTGTGGCCGAGCTGCCAACACAGCCTCCTTGTAGTAGATCCCAGAACAGGGCTGGTGCTGCCCGGGGGATGCGGGTCTCTCCACCTGAGGAACAGAGAGGGCCATACTGCGGGTCCCCGTGCCGCCCCCCAGGACAGTGAATCAGCCCCTTGTTGGGGACACACAGGTTCCGGAGCCACAGGACTTCATCACTTACACCAAGGACTCTGCAGATCCTGTGATGACTCTATTTGTTATTTTCTTACACTGTGAGGGTCAGAGAGATATTTAAAGACACCGCAGGGCTCATCTCGCGAGCACCCCGTTTGCTCCTCACTCTGCCCGCGGTCTCCAGACCATCTCTGGAGGCGGAGGTGCTGCCCGCTGTGTGCCGTGCCCAGGAGCCGTGTCGCCCGCGAGGGCCCTCAGCCCCAGCTCTGGCCTCTTCCTCGCACACAGACTCCTGGACACGGAGACAGCCCGCGCGCAGAGTCAGGGCACACCTCAGAGGAAGGGCGGCAGCACGGCCGGACAGCATTTCCAATTTCATGTTGTGCACCAGTCACCAAAACACTCAGTCACAGCCCCACAGCCCTGTCCTGACCTCCTCCATATGGAACAGGCTGACTGCCCCAGTGCTCCCAAGATCTTCACAGTAGAGTTCCAGTCCTGGATGGGGTCTCGCAATCCTGCTGAGCTAAGACGGCCCAGGACTGTCCCAGGTCCCTCATTCCCTCCTGCTGAAAACGTCCCTCATTCCCTCCTGCTGAAAACAGTGATGAGCACACGTTGTCCCGCTGCCATGTGTCCCCCTGCCCTCAGCTGAACAGCACTGACCGCAGCACCTCCCTATCTGGGACTTCCCATGTGATTTTGAGTTTGATCCCACTCATGCATTGATGTATGGTCTTTATCTGTGTGAATTTTACTTTTCTCATGGTTTCCTTTCTGGTCATGCTGAGAGAGCCATTCTTTAACCCACACTTGTAACACTGCCCAGATATCCTGATCTGGACGAGGTGATGGGAAGGGAAGAGTGCAGGTGAAGAGGAGCAGGGAGGTGGCTCTGAGCTGTGCAGAAATTAGAGGTCAGAAAGGGAGGTGGGCCAGTAGAAAGCTCAGCAAACTAAGCGCTTCCTTTGGTAAGCCAGGGACCAGGATTCTACCCCCAGTCCCTCATGCTGCACAGGCCCCACCCCGGGGCGAACTGACCCAGCAACAGCGTTTCTGCATGGTGGTGCAAGTCTGTAACCCCAGCCCTGGAGAGGCTGAAAACAGGAGGATCACTAGGAGTGTGAGCTTCGTAGTGAGACCCTGTACCAAATGCATAAAGTGGAGAGAGACAGAGACAGAGAGACAGAGTAGGACAACAGTTCTGCATGCATCTGTTCCTGATTCCTGTAATTGTATCAAATACGTGAGGGGAGGTGACTTAATAAAGGAAACAGGGTCTTGTGTCTCCCAGTTCTGGAGCTTCAGTCCCAGAAGGCCCCATCTGAGCTGTTATTCCTGCCGGGCGTCCTGAGTGGCACGCAGCATCATTTGGGGGGCCCCAAACTCCACACTTGGCCTGTGAGATCTGGGGTCTGCCTGTCTCTGTTCTTAGGTAGCCATCAGTTCTCAGGCACAGTGGCTCCACCCTGGTGACCTTACCTACCTGCAGGAGCTCAGAAGTCTCGCCTCTAACCTTCATGATCAAGTGAGATTCCACCCTCTCAGTGTCACCCAGTAGAGAGGGAATTCCCCTTAGGGAACGTGCTTGAATCCAATCCACAGCATGTTCCAAGGTAGAGTGGCATGTTCTTATAAGCCACAGCATGTAAGGCTTAAACCTGAGCTTATAATTTTAGAGCAATGTCTGCAGGACTTACATATTATTCTATATGTGTTGTGCTCAGTAAGTATTTGCTCTGCAGTTAAGCATAGTTATGGGCCTCCTCATATTTACCAGGCTAAGAAACCTAAAATGCCTAGAGTGACACAGAAAAACAGCAATTAGCTGAGGTGGTTGGCATTTTTGATATTTTATGACCATTTCGTGACAAATCATGGTTTGGTGCTCCTGTACACTCTGATTACTAAAATATATATTCATCTTTCTTAGGCTTGGCATGTTTTAGAGATGTCTCATGGCTACGTAGGAAAGCCCCCGGTGTCCACGTCAGCATCTCGTTGATATACAGAAGCCTGTGAATCTCAACTTGGGTTTTTTGCATAATATAATAAATACTAAGCACACAATGAAGATGGATTCTCTCCTTTTTTTTTTTTTTGGTGGTACCTAGGATCGAACTCAGGACCTTGTGCTTGCCAGGCAAGCACTTATTCTACTGAGCTATCTCCCCAGCCCTAAATATGGTTTCTCAAAAGGAGTAATTAATAGCCATATGTGTTTATTTACAAATAAATTTATTTCATAAATCTCCTAGGGCACCTGCCACCTGCGCACAGCCAGGTGGGCACCGTCCTCGTCCGGGCCCTGGCTATGCAGGTCTGGGGCCAGGGCTGCGCCCCGCAAGAAAAACAGCCTAGCCCAGCTCAGGTTCCCAGCGGTTTCACCTCTTCTCCAACTCTGTCAGTCTCTTCTACTGGGCAAGGCTGAGGCAGCCCAGCTTCTCAGGCCCAATTGTTGCAGACTCCTAGAGCAGCCAATCATGGTCGCCGCCGTTCAGGTTATAAAGTCCTCATCAGGGGCCAGGAATCAAGTCTCCAACTCCCAGCAGTGCTGGGATGGCACCCCGCACACTCCTGCTGCTGCTCTGGGAGTGGGAGTGGGGGTGGGAGTGGGGGTGGGGTGGCGG